TTTGAATCGATTTAGCTCAATTTTAAGTTGGAAATCAATTAAATTGCTTTATTAAAGCCTAAAATTAAGATTGAAGCAACTATACTAATAAAATACATTAGTTTTTAATTAATTCTGTATTAAAATCGAGCAAAATTGGATTGAATTTAGACAAAATTAAATCATCATTAAAATAATGGTTCACAAAGTACACTTTGGGTGTAGTTTGTTTCGTCTATTATATGTGAAAAAAGCATCAGAAATGCAGAAATAGTGCAGACAAGTTTTTATTCATAAATAAATGTTTATCATCTGATTCATAAAAATATTATGCGAGATTTAAAATCAACCTTGCGGCTATAATTCACATGGATTTTCCTTTAAACCAATTTCTCGTTCAAGAATGAACACAACATAAAAATTAACCTTGACAGTAAAATACCTGTTTTTCTGTGTGTTATCTTAGTGTAAAGACCAATACAGCGAGGAGTATCATTTATTCAGTGTTAATTCAAGTGACTCTAATCTCGTGGTAAGTGATTTAGTCAAAATTTAATAATTAACACATCTAAACCTGATTGAGGCCAATGTCACTGACTCTGCGACACTTTAATTAGTGTGTATGTATTTCGATTTAGGATAGATTTAATAAGTAATTTAGTAGGATCAAGTGGATCTAATGGAATTTGTGCAGAGTCGAGAAGCAAAGCAGATGATTTAAATGGCATTAGTGGCTATAATTGAATTTTGAAGCTTAGAAGGTTGAAGAGCAAGATAATAAACTGAATGATATTTTTCGATTTCTGAGATAACTTTATTGAAAACAACAACCAAGCGGTTCAGTTGGGGCAAAATAAAATCGGATAACAACACAAATTTCGGATTGTTAATTTTGGGATTTTAATATTTCATTTTTGCTTAAATATTCATTATCCCAAGTGTACAGAGACGAGCACTACTGCATTTTTCCCAACGAAAATAAATCTTGTCATGTAATTAGGTTTATTGATGCTCGCTAATCTCCCGAGATCAGAGAGCTTTTATCCAAACCAAACGTGCTTTGATGTCATTTGATAAAATTTCCTGCTGAAAAAAAGTTAAAAAACCAACACGCACTCCGTTATTCCGTGCAAGTTTTAAACGAATCGACATTACTATTTTGGTTTGGATGCAATCTTCCATCCCCACATGCTTCCAATAAACAGAAAATCGATAAATAGTTATTTGAAGGGAGCATTTTAACCGTCCAAGTTTCTTTCGGGATTTTACGATTATGACTGAGTTTTCGAACGTTTAATATGTTCTCCTGAAAAGCTCCTATTGACGCGACTCTTTCTCATTTCCGACTCCGGATTGATTGTAATTCTCTCGGATTACCGAGTGCGTTGACTAAATTCAGGTCGGGTTGAAAACTCGTGAAAATTGTCGAAAATCATTGATAAAGTTCAATGAAAAGTGTGACAGATAAAATGGGTTTTATTATTTGTAACAAGATTTAATTGCAAAACTTTTCTCTAGCTATAAAATGATTTGTTTCTCAGTGGGGCATCGATTCGTCTTGTTACAGCTGTGTCTATAGATTCACAGTAATCGTAATTGTGGGCAAAGTGAATTTTCTTGTTTAAATTGCTAACAAATATTTGTATTTCCGAGAACTTGGATTCGACTTTGTTTAACAATTTAGCAAGTCAGCTTTAATATTGCTAATTTTTTTTCCAGATGTCCATTTATCAGCTTTTGGTTGTTTCGTTGGCCTTTTTAGGATCGATTTTAGCTTTAAACTCGCCCTGTCCTGATCTCTTCCATTACGATTCTACAGATGAGCCGAATCAATGGAGTGGAACCGTGACGTTGCTGTCAGATGATGATCTTCAAGGCGTCTGGACTCGCCTTATCTTTGATGAAAAGTTAACAGAACTCGAACTTCATGTAAGTTTAACACGGATTTGCGACTTTAAAGCAGCTAAACTCAACACTTGCAAAATAAAAAACTCAGTTTGCAAACTAATGAGAGGATATTTGTTTTTATTGTTTACCAGTAGAGAGTGCTTGAGTTAATTAAAACTGGAGTTGGAGTATTTCAACATGACAGCCTGGCCTTTTCACACCACACCACAATGACATTTTTTTCAAAATAAGTGTTAACATTTGTGTTTTAGGACAATTTTGAAGTTGTGAGGGCTGATAACCATCGCGAATATTTAATTAAAAACAGAGATTTTGTGTTAAAAGCTGCAACACCAGTAGACGTCAAAATAACCGTTAAATACGAGGGTGATAAAATTCCTACCTTAATTGGCTATCGATTGAACGCCAAAATGGTCTGCCCTTCTTCGAATGTGTGAGTACATGTGATAATCATTACTAATAAAAGGCTTTATTAATTTTTTACACTTGTGAAAGTTTCTCTTTGATGACGGTTGTTTTTTGTTGCATGTGTATCTAAATGGTCATAAATCTTACAACTGTGTTATTAATGTTGTAATTGTGCAAAGGCACGGCACTATAACTTTGAGATAACTTCTGTTCAAGTAGTTAATTTCCACGTTCTAGAGTCCACTCAAAACAGATAAACGTACGTAAAGTGGATAATATGCAAATTTTGGATAAATATGCAAGAACGGTCTCTGTCCTAGAGAAGTTTATGGAATGGACAGAAGCTAACCCAATTATCTATCATTTGTATTTTGATGATTAATAAAAAACCATCGGTTTTTGGTATGACAGGTTGTAATACCTAAAATAAAATTTTCGCACATAAACAGAACCGAGAATCAAAATAGCACACATTTTCTGTCATTAGAGAAATATTTGGTAAAGAAATTAAATTGACAATCAGTTAATACCTCAGCAAAACAATAATATATTTATTATATATTTTGGAGATATTAATATAACCTCTCTTGACTAAGGGTGTATGAGCCGCCACTGTGACTGAAGCAAATATATGCTATCTGTAGTTACCTCTGCAATCATCTAAAAACAGTTTAATGGACATATTTGCAATACTTTTAAAAGATTGTTACCCAATAGATGTAGCTACAGCCAAAGGGAAACAATCCACAAATCATCAAATCCATTTTACTTATATTTCTCATAATAAATAAATTTATTTTCTAAAAATAAATTAAGTGTTATCACAAAAAAAAATTAAAAATTATAAATAACCTTAGTAATGGATTGATCTTTAGAATTATTTAAAGTATCTGCAAGAAGAAGTGTCGTAGTATTATCCTAAAATAAACATTTTATAGCACATTATTTTTTAGCTTAGAATTTAAAAAAAAACCTGATTGAAAATATTTTGGAAAATAATTGGTAGAACAAAATTTGTTATTGCTACGGAAATTAGCCATAAGACATTTACAAAGGTTGTAGATAAAAAAGATGCAGTAGGAATTTCGTAACTTTGAAAAATAAAAAAAATTCCAGTAGAAGTATTGAAAACATCTTTAAGAACTTTTATTAGAATCGCACTTTTAAAATTGTTTTTTATTGAATTGTAATTTTTGCGCAACATTGAGTGAATCTTGAAAAAATCATTTATTTTGCAATCTGGCAGTACATTCGTGTTTATTGATGCCAAATAATTATTAAATTCTTGATATGTCCGTTGTAGAATTATTAAGTAAGAAATTGCCAGTAGTTCGAAATGATAATACATACCGAACAAAGAATAATACACAAATGTACTTAATGCTACGTTCCAAAAATTAATACAATCCATTACACAACATGTAATGAATAAAATATATTTTATTGCTGTTAATCCCAAAATAACATTTCTAATGTTACTATAAAATGAAGGTCTAATGATGATCGATTTTTTCAAGTGTGTTTCCAATAATATTAATTCGACAAATATTTGAGAAAATTGTTTTCTTTTTCTATAACTTAGAACAACAATGTACAGGTTACTTGTAAATAAAGTTAATAATTGTGCAAAATCAATTCCACTGGTCATCACAAAACTTCCATGGTTGTTGCTCTTCATTCCATAAAAAAACATAATTGACAGAATTACGAGTCCAAGAGGATAAGTTTTTACATTCAAATTAACAATTTTTTGGTTTTGGGTGTCTACTTTGTAAACTGGCAGACCTGTGTATTTCCAAATTGTTAAAATTGGAGCAATAATTTGGCTTAAATTTTGAGGGTTAACCCACATTATTGTTAGTGTATTTTATGCATACAAAACCTTCATTTAATTATTCTACACTAATAAATTGTTTCGATTAAATGTCAAAAGGTGCTTAGATAAAAATGTAGATAATAGAATAGTTACAACAAAGTAGTAATAACATAAAAAATAACATAGAGTAAAAACATCGTTTAATTTTATTAAATAAACTACATGCGATTATGTTCATCTGTATTTACCTAAAGGGGATTAAAATTAAATTTCGTGTATAAACGCACAAATACATTTTTAAAAAAAGATTTTTTTTAATAATGAATACAATAATACAAAGATAAAAATACTACTTATGACTTATGACCTCATAGACTATTTTGATTTCGTGTTAAAGAAACATACTAATGCTACTAATTATAATTTTGTTTAAAACTCTTAGTGGTAATAAAAACATTTTAGTAAAATATTATTAATAATAGCTTAGCTATTTTCAATGTTTTTTTTATTTTCTTTTTAAAAACAAAAAAATTTCAAGGTAAAAAATAAACATTGCAGTAAGATATTATTAATAATAGCATTGCCCCTTTTTGTCCACTTTATAATATAAAGCTTAAAAAATTGTGTTACGAAATAACATTTATTTTTCTCTTGGCTGCTCAAACTGAACCAAATATACCACATATGTTGTCACACTTGCAACCATCTAAAAGAAATCATGTATTTAATATAAAAAACTACAATTTTAAGAAACTGTTACCCAAGTAATGTAAGTGCAGTCGTAAAAAAACAAGCCACAAATCGTTAAATTGATTTTGCTGGAAGCTGCTTTAAGAGTGAAAAACACCATTTGCTAAAAATTATTGTTAATTTAAATTGAGATAAAAAAATTCCAAATAACATTATTAAAACATTTAAGATGCACTCTGATATTTTGTAAAAGAGCTGCAATATGATGTTTTAAGAAGTTGTCCTAAAATACGATATTTGATATTTATTTTTATTGTATGTATTTGAAATAACCTGGTCAGAAATATCGTGAAAAATAACCGGAATCAGAAAATTTGTTAGTGCTACGGTAATTCCCCATATCACATTTGTGAATGAGGTAAACAAAAAATTTGTATTGGCAACTTTGTAAGTTTCTAGTGCGAAAAAAATACCAGTCGTAGTGTTAATAATATCTTTAAAAACTTTAACCACAATTATACTTTCAAATCCTTTTCTTATCACTATTAAGTTTTGCCGAAGGATTGAATACACTTTAAAAATTTCTTTAATCTCATAACTTGTCAAAACTTTGAATTTCAGCGATTTTAAGTAACTATTAATTTCTTTATATTGCCGTTTTAAAATAATTAAATAGGTAATTATAATAATATCTACGTGGAAATATATAGAAAGTAAAACATAATATAAGATCATATTTACTTCTTCGTTCACTAGATTAATACAATCTACCACACAACCAATGACAATTAAACCATATTTTGTCACTGAAATAATTACAACTACTTTTCGAATGTCAGCATAATATGAAATTCTTTTTTTCGTCAATTTTTCTATATGGGTTTCAGTTAAATCTAATTCGGTTAATATTCGAGAAAAGGATTTTCGTTTTCCATAACTTAAGACAATTGTACACGAATTGCTGATAAATAAAATCAACACTTGGAAAAAATTGATATTATTGTTTACTACCACATAGCTATCATCTGTGAATATATTTTTAACACTAACGAAAAGCACAAGTGATAAAATTAACAGTCCGAAAAAATATGTTTTTGTGTTCACACTAACAATTTTTTGATTTACTGTATCAAAGCGGTAAACTGGAAGTCCTGTGTATTTCCAAAGTGTTAAGATTGGAGAAACTACTTGGCCGAGGTTTTGTGACTTGGACCACATATTTTAAATTTAAATGATTTTGTTTACAATGCACTGTGACTAATGTAATTGACATCATACTTTAGTAAATTGTGTGCTGAAATTGATTAATTATTTCGATTACATGTAACACTTAGATTATCATGTAGATATTGTAACTTGCAATGAAATTAGATTGTTTACTATTATTCAGTACCTATGCGACAATGACAATAATAAGTATCAAAATTTTTAGTCAAAAATTACTCACTTTTGGAATTCTAACGTTGTGTTTTATGTCGTAATCCATTAAATCAGCGAAATTCGGGTGAAGTCGCATAGAAGTTAAATAAATCCTATGCAAATACTAGTCCGATATGCAAAATTAAACTCAACCTGTGCCGATTTAGAAACTTTCACCACATCCATCTATCATTTATGTACAGGGTGCTGTATTTTGGATGTCCGAATAGGGAATCTCCGAAACTAAGAGGTCTAGCCAAAAACGAGTAATACATTCTGGGGCTCATTTTTTGAGGAAATAATATTGGTTAAAACCCCATCCCGCTATCGTCTTTTGTTTTAGACTTATAGACAAAAATTGACATTTTAGCGAAATCTAAAAAAATTCATATCTTCGTTATTATAGAAGATACGGATTTGAAATAAAAACATTATTCAGGCACTTTTTACGTAGAATTTAATAATGTAGTTAACATTTTTTTTCAGTTGTTTGTTTAGCCGTAATAAAATGAACTTGTATTTTTTTTAAATGGGAATCATAGATGGCTATGTCATTTTTAAAAAGCTTGTTTTTTTCTTATCTAAAAAATATATATTTGTAACAAATTATTATAATACATTTTTAGCAAAAAATGATCTTTGATTTTTCTTTGCAGTTGGCCATGAAAAAATGTTGCGTCTTCAACTAAAAGGATTTAAACTATATTATTGAACCAGTGTCACTAATGAAAGAGTTATCTAAGTACTAAGTAATGAAAAAAAATGCAAAATAAATTTTAAATCAACTTATTGGCGACTAATAACATTTTCTTTGTTTTTAAACAAGTTAACATTACCATTATAACTTCTAGTGATACACAGAGTGTTGTAAAAAAAGCCTCTTTAATTCTTCAATAAAATATATTTTATTTGACACAAAAATGACGATATGGCTTTTCAAATACCCAAATTCCGTCTATGTGGAACGTTATCCTACCTCCATTAGATCATCAAAAAAATGTTTCTTCTAATTGTGTTAACTATTGACACATTTGTTTTTCTTATATTTGGATTTATTAAAAATATGTAACAATTTTGTTCTGAGGCGCTCGCAGATTTGTTAAATACATCATCCGTATCGTATTCTTTAAATTTTTATAATTTTATCTATTTTTTCATCAATTTTACAGTTCACAAAACTCTTATTGATTATTATTTACACATTTGGAGTGAAATAGTTTTTCCATGGCCAACTATTATCAAACAAAATATGTATTTCACTTTTTAAGTATAATTATAAAAAAATATTCTGTTACAAATTTATATTTTTTAGATCAGAAAAAAAAAGTTTTTCAAAATTGCCATAGCCGTCTATGATTTTTATTAAAAAAAATACAAGTTTATCTTATTATGGCTAAACCAATAATTGAAAAAAATTGTTAACTACATTATTAAATTTCTCGTAAAAAAGTGCCTGTATAATGTCTTTATTTCAAATTCGTATCTTCTATAATAACGAAGATATGAATTTTTTTTTAATTTCGCCAAAACGTCAACTTTTGTCTGTAAGTGGAAAACAAAAGACGATAGCGGGATGGGGTTTTACCCAATATTATTTTCCCAAAAAATGAGCCGCAGAATGTATCACTCATTTTTGGCAAAACCTTTTAGTTTCGGAGATTCCCTATTCGGACATCCAAAATGCAGCACCCTGTACAGTCGAACAAAGTGAAAATGACGCCTCAATAAACCACTCCCTGCTGTGGATGCCAACCTTTCTAACCGCAAGCAGGCAGAGTCGTAAATTATCGGATTGCAAACTAGACGGAGTTTCAAGATTAATTCTTTTAGGAGTCAATTTACAGGAAGCAAAATTATAATTTATTTTAAACTAATTGACATTGACAAATGTCAAGTTAAATAAATATGTAATTTTTTTTAATGAAAAATTTGACAAACTATTTCTTAAAGAAAATTATGCATTAATGATGACATTGATGAAAAAACAATCATTATTAATTTA